GAGGTTCAGGGAGGTGGTGCCTGGAGGTGTGAAGAGGCCTACCGTCTTCACCCGAATACAACTTACGGTCATTATAGCTGTATTTGGGGCAATTGTGAGTCTAGATACAGCAATAATGACCATACGTTGTATTTGGGTGAAGACGGTAGGTATGAATGGGTGGGAGGTTGTCAATTGTGAACGTGAGAAAGAAGTGGCGGGAGAACGTTCAGAGATTGAAGGTATCAGAAAGGTGGGGAAGGAGCCCCCAAAGGAGTGGGACATGATTTCACGGGGGGGAAAGGTTTGCTGGAGCAGGAGAGGATCTTTTGTGTGTTAGCGTCTTTGGGAAGGCTGATAGGTATGAGGAAGGGGGACTGAACTTTCATATGGCCTTTTCTCTAACCGTCGATCCTCACGTATGGAAGCAGCAATTGATGCTGCTGGGGGTTTCTCTGGGCGTAACTCGGGAAGGCTGAAGTGGAGTAATATTGTACTATGTCGTGACTTCGGTGCCAAATGCTCAGATGGCAGGTCTGATGCCACAGTGGAACAACCTGTCTCCAAGGTGCTCAGAGGAATGTCTGGTGCCACAATGAAATTGGGGCCAGAAGTCCTGGCTGCAAAACACACAGCCCAACAGCTGTGATGCTGAGAAATATCTACAGCTGAGGCCAGGGATCGAGCCCTGTCTTGTTATAATTGGTGTGTATAACCTGGCCACCAGAAATGAGTGAAGGTTATGGTAGCATGAAGTCCAGAAAGCTCTGCAGGTCACACTGGAGATGATCTACGAAGAGAAATTTCTTGATTGCAGTCATGCTTTTCAGCCTGGTAGAGGCTCCGCAGCTCCGCCGATGAACCTTCTAGTAGGTTCTGTGTTGCTTGACCCATCGCGTTCGGTGAAAGCGCCTCGAAGGTCATCCAAAATCTAATGTCTGTCTCAGTGTCTCACATATTTTCACTGCCCCATCCCAGAAGTCACTGTTAACTTGTTTTTCCCCTTCACAACGTTCACATTTACTATATCAGGAAATTTCCAGTTGGATGGCTATTCACTCTGGAAAGGATGCCCCACCCCCAACCTGACTAAGTGTCGTCCATCCTGATGTGAAAGCGCACACAAGAGCTGATTAGAATTGCTCCCCACTCCCCCCCTCCCAAAAAAAAAAAAGAAGCTCGATTCAGATACATTGTACGGAATGTAGGCTCTCACTAGCGGTGTGAGCCTGTCTGGAGCCAGCACACACTCAACGAGCCCAGGGTCCATTAGAAAGCGAAGTCAGCCTCTTTAACCACCAGTCAGTCCCGCTGAGAGATTGGCCCTGTTATAAGACGTTGGCTATGCCGAAATTTCCTGAAACTAAAAAGTTTGCCGGATTTTAATCTGACTGTGATGGTCTGCCCTGGGCCTCCTGAAGTACATTCTTGAGCCCATGGTACCTTCATAAAAGAAGTCAACCTCTTAAGTTTTAACCTCGAGTCCTCCAAGACGGCTGCCCTGTTACAAGTTGGTCATACCGAAAAGCTGCTTAAACCACCAGTACCTCCACGATCTTAGGCCGTTAACGCGGTGGCTGAATCCGTGCGCCGCGCTGGTCCATATGTATTTGCGTCAGAGCCGCGCCAGAGGGGGCCTAAGCCCCCCCTGGGGTACTGGTGGCTTAAGCTAACTGGTCCATTTGATTTTCGCTCCGACCCTGATGATGGTTTGCGCAGAGCCTGCTGGCATCCAGCCTCCTCAGAAAGGCTGGTCGTTTAAACCACCATTGTCCGCGAGGGTATTGCAATGAACTGACACTCTTTCTCGAGCTTGGCCCACCAAAGCGAAACGATGAAGGCCTACTGGTAGCAACAGGGAGCAAAAGAAATTGTTGTTTTCCCACTAGAACATCTTTTGCCGTGCATTCGTTTTATTTTTTAGTATTTTTCTCGGAAAGATCAGCACTTAATCTAGGTCCACCGATGTTTTGAGATTTCTTCATCAAGAATTCTGAGCACAAAATCCCCAAAGTCGGTGCACCCGACATTTTGCGAAAAGCTGCCCACCACCTGCAGCCCATCTCCACCGGGTGGCCAGCCGCAGGTGCGAAGTTGCATATCTTTTAGCCGCCGGGGAAAGCGGTGGCTTAAGATTGGCCTGGGGGGGTTTCTCCCTGGATGATACAGGCACGGAGCAGGTAAAGTCTACCACCCGCGGTTTTTAGTGAGCGAGCCTCAGGGTCGGTCTTACTGGTCGGTTGCAAAAGGCTCAGCGAGGAGGTAAGGGGGCACTGCAGTTGGCGTTTGACCATCAGTACGTTTGGCCCATGGGGGCCCGGACTGTATTTCTGTCACTTTATTCTGCGCAGGAAGCATAGGTGCTGCAGGGGGGATTCTCCCCCTGCTTTCGTCATCGAAGCCCCGCTCACAGATGGACCTGGTTTTTGGAGGGACAAGGGAGGTGGTTCTCTCACTGGTGAGCGCTATGAAGTGTGGTGCGGGGCGTTGAGGCTGGGCTTACTGTTACAGAGTCGGAGATTAGGCGCTAGGCTCTGTAGGCGCGGCTGTCCATCATGTTAGTTTCAAGAGTCAGTTTTAATAATTGATGCGGGGGATTTTAGGGATCTCTTTCTGACGCCTAATTTTTCCAGACGACTCTGATGAAAGAGCCGGTTGATTCCTCTCTAGACACTTAGCCCACGGTTCAATCTCCTGTATTTCGGGTGGCCGACTGGTCTGCGGCCGCCCGACAACGTATCCCCTCGGTGGTTTGGGTAGGTGTTATGAGTCTGAGATTGCGTGGAGAGTCTCTGTGAAGCAACTGTTTGGACTTGAGATGTCCACATTCCTCTCACCGTCGACCTGCACGTTCCTAGACCTTAGGGAAGTCAACGTTACTAGACCTGAGAGGGTTAGGGGAGCAGGACTAGCTGCCCTGCAGTCTCTGAGTCACAGGCCTCTCTGTAACAGCAAAGGGACAGTCAAAAGGTATAAGTGGCAGGTGGCCACCCCAGATATTGTCCATATCATGCTTGGCTGTGCATGCCAATTTTCAGGCCATCCATTTGTGCAGCACCCTACCATCTTCCCCCGAATACAACGCACCCTTATTTTGGCGGTATCTGGCCGGAAATATAGCTTGTATACATTCATTTTTAGGGTGTGTTATGTTCGGGGGAAGACGATAGCATTCGATCCCCTTGCCCACCGAACTGCCCAAGAAAGAGTGCTGTGTTTTGACTGAGCTATTCTGGCAGCTCTTGCCTTAGGATGGAGTTGCCTTGCCGCAGTAAGGGAGAGTGTGTGCCCGCTGTCCTGTAGCCATAGCTAAGAAGTATAGCCTATGAATAAGACTTGAGGGGCAGTTACGCTATCGGCAACGTAGAGACTGAACAAGAGGGAGGTCGAATTATAATCAGTGCGATAGGTCGTCACGTTCTCTCCTTTCCTGACTTATGCAATGACCCTGCAAAGTTGCAGTCTGAGACTCCGGTAGTTTTCTGAGTACTGCTGTTTGTTGGTCTGATTTGCTGATGATTCCTGAGTTCGAGTATGTTTTGCTGTACGCGCATGTCCATGACTCTATGCGATGCTTGCTGTGCCCGTGAACTAACTCTGTTCTCTCATGCTGTGTTTTCTGTGTCCCTAGAAGGGTAGAAGAGTAAATAGTCAAAGCGATAGGGATAGAACTGGAATTGGCTGATGCACACAGACTTAGGATCAACTCAAGGACAGGCAAGGACAAAAGGAGAATTTTGCAAGGACCCAAAGTCAAGAACAGGAAATCGGAGAGGCCTAGAAGGGTCTGGTAGGCCTACAAAGGTCCAGCAGCTTCTAAGCAGGTCATGATAGTGCAGGGCTCAGATGTAGGTAGATATTAGGTTAGGTTCAGCCCCTGGAATTGAATTGAAGATCTCAATTATGTTCCCGCCAAAAAGCAAGAACTTGCGGTAGGACCTAGTGGACTGGTAGAGGCTGCTGCGGGTGCCATAGAGCTACTGGAGGCCAGAGTTCGAGTACATCTTTCGGTGCAACGAGCAGTCCGGGCATTCACCCGGTAGTCATGCTGCTGCTCCACCTTGAGGTATAGAGCTAGGAGGAGCTCTGGGTTGGAGGAGGAGGAGCTCCTTGGCTATGGAGTAGTAGTAGAAGGGAGCAGGCCTGGGCTACGCAGATGAGAGGGAGAAGAATCTCAAGCTAGGCCATGAAGGCAGGTGGAGGAAGAGAGTGGAGGTAGAAGAGGGTTCCTGTTAAGCA